ACACACACACACACACACACACACACACACACCCCCACACTTTCTGCAGTGGGCAGAATATGACTAAGTGCATTGATCTGTTTGCTGCTTGCAGGCTGTAATCATTTCTTCAAGCAGAGACGTCCAAACGTTACTGCTCGGTTGTGTGTTTCTTGGAGAGCTTGCTGTGGTTCAGTAGTTTCTGTCAGCGTGTGGTTTGGATTTTAGCCTAAAAGTTTTAACGTCCAGCATAAGAAGCTTGTAGGGCTTTATTAAAACAATAATAATGTTTCATTGATAATTACTGGATTTGGGGGTTTTTTGTAGGCAAGTTAAATATTTGAACTCTTTAACTGCAACCTTCTGCTCAAATGTTTGTATCTGTTACGGTGTTCCTCTGCTGATGCACCTTTTCCCTTCCAGTAAATGAAATATTAGAATTGACAAAATGGTTAATAAAATGGTGTGTACTGCTGCTCTCTGGCTTTGTGCATCAGCTAAGAAAAAACCTTAGTCTTTAGACTCATGGAGAAAATCCACCTTTCAATCATCTGTGCAAACTCATCACTGGATGAGTTTGCACTAGGGCTGTGCGATATGACCAAAATCTCATATCCCGATATAAAACATTTCTCATCCTGATAAAGATATATATCACAAAATAGTGGTTTTTGTGTAAATTCTGTGAATCTCAGGCAACTCGACTTGTTTTTAGCTAGGCGTCGTGTACCTGGCATCGAGTGTTTTGACAAATGCATGAAACTATATATTTTTAGATATACGTTGTAACGGCCATCATTTTCTTTGTATTTATTACATAGTGTGTTGCGGGGGAAAACCTGGCGGCTCTTTTTTGCTTCTCATCCATAAACTCTCTCCATACTCTTTCACGTGATTCTTGCATAGGTGGTAGAAGAGGTTTGTTGTGTTTGAGTCTGTGGTGGGGACTGGTTTGCGGCATAATTTGCACAGTACAGTTTTCTGGTCAGACTGTGTCAGACTTTTGCATAACCAAACCATGTCTGTGCTACAGAGACATGGTTTGCATAACCAAACCATGTCCCCTTGTAGGAATAAGGTCCTCGATCGGTTTTGACTGGTCCTTCGGTTTGGAGCTGCCTGGTTCTGCCTCATCTTCACTGGCCATGCTGGTATTCTCTGTGAGTGTAAGCGCCATTTATAGTTACTTCATGTTTTTATTTGAGGTAATTTGTTTGATGCACATTCTGAAATTTGATGTTTGAGGATAATGTATATCATTTCATTTTATTTTGAAAACTCATCAGGATCTTGAGCTTTATTGTGAAAGGTTTATGTGGAAAATAAACGAGCGGACGGCGGAGCCACACAATGGTTTTACCGTCGCTGTTGCTAACGAACCAACGGCTAAGAAGTTGATTGTCCGTCTGTAGTGTGGTTATTTTAAATATAAGAGAAAGAGAACTTAACATATAATATGAAATGATCAATGTTTTCATATCGATATACTTATTTTGATACATATCGTCATATCAAACAGCCTTAGTCACTTGATAAGGAATCCCTTGTCATCCCCCCAG